TCTGCCCCTGCTTGTGTTCCCTCTCTGCTGTGTCTCTCTGTCAAATAAATACATAAAATCTTAAAAAAAAAAAATTAAAGATTCACCATCAGGTTGCTCTAAATAGCAAGCTTTCCATAAGCATTTAATATTTAAGTTAAGACACTGAAGAGGAAATGATATCATTCATATGAAATGTCCAGAACAGGGAATCTACAGAGATAGAAAGGAAATGAGTGGTTGCTCAGGGCTGGCAGAAGAAGAGGTAGAAAGAGGACAGCTAAAGGGTATGGATTTCTTCTGAAAGTAATGAGAATGTTCTAAAATTGACTGTGGTGATGGCTGTACAACTCTGAATATACTAAAAAACATTAAATTGTGTACTTTAGGTAGACGAATTAGATGGTATATAAAGTATATCTCAATAAAGCTATTAACAATATTTAAAAGGAGACTGTACACCAGAAAAAAGATCCCCACCAGTTAGATGGACATATACACAATACATGTGTATGTATGTACATTACAATATCCCATTAATTACTTCTCATTTCTAGAGAGTGAAGAAGAGGGTGACTGTCTTCATAATTAAGGCCCTAGAAAAATCAGCGCTTAGGGGAAAAAGACCATGTCCTATTTCTTCATGATTACAATAATCCAAATTCACTGGCTTCAATAATGTTCTAAAATTGACTTACACCTACTACAGCTTCAAATCAATCACTGGTGTTATTTTCAGTGTTGAGAACAAGAACAAGGTTTAGAGAGACATCTACTGACATGGGGCAGACCCTCCCAGAATTTCAAGAAATTGCTTGGGATTTGGAGTTACCATGTCAGGCACTCCCCTAGGGGTGCCAAGGCCATAGTCAACTCCAGCATGACCTTACTCGTACTCACCAGGCCCAGCCTCTCTATTGGATACATTAGTTGAAACACTAACCTTAGATTTTCATTGCCTGTCCTGAATTGTACCATTCAACCCCTCACCAACCTTCCCCACTACCTGACAACCATGTCCCTCCTTAGCAAACTCTGATCCCTTTTCTGAAGTCAAAATGCCAGGTACCCACAAAGACAGTCACAGTGCAACTACCATGATCCGAGGCTCCAAGCCAGAGGGGGCCTGGAGTAGGGAAGGCCAGGGAGAACACCAGCCTCCTGAGGTGTATAGCAGCCACAAAATCAATACCCTTGACTCCTGGGTCTGTCCCACCTGGTCTCTTCTTTTCAAAAACTGACTTAGAAGCAAACAATCTGGGATAAATACTCTATACTCCTGCCTCCAAAAAACAAACAAACAAACAAAAAACCCTTTCTCAAAAAAAATTAAGAAAAAAAATAATTTATCAACTCCATCAAGTCCCTTTTAGAAAATATTCCTTTTGGCAGGAATTTTAGCAAATTGTCATGGCCAAGAAAAAAAGTTTAATTAAAAGAATATCTTTATAAGACTTGACTTCAGCAATATTAAAGTATGAAAATAATGTGGCTCAACATTTTGTAAAATCCTTAAGCTTTAATGCCAAGAAGTTTTATAATCAGTTCCCTAATGAACAAAAATTCACATTACCACTAGTAATTCCCCTAAATATAGGGTAGAGGTGAAGCAAATACTCAAAAGCCATTTTATAAAATAGCAAGGGTCACATTTTAATTTCTTCGACCCTATTCAGTGTATGCTGAAACATATTCACAGGATAAGCCATGAACTCAGAAATTGTATGAATTTTAATATTTAAGATATTTCAACTAATGCAATTATATTCTTATACAAGACTTTAAATAGAATATTTGGTATCTATCTACTTTATTCCTAGCCAACCCCACCGTATATTCCCATACTTATTCTTCCCCTGACTCCAGAAAAGTACAAGTGAAACCGTACAACAGGTAGCCACTTGAAAAATCAAATAATAAAATCAGCCTCAAAATTCAGCTTTGCATCTTGATTGCAGAAAGAATATTGAAGCCACATTAACAAGGCCATTAAAAATCTTCATCTTCCATATAATAGAAAATTTAAACAAAACAAAGACCCTCATTTTCCCAACTTTAAGAATGCGTAAATGGATACCAAAGTCAAAGAAACTAAGAGGAATTAAGCAAAAATACTACTCAAAAACATCCTAAGATTTAAAAAGAAAATTCTTCAATTTTAGATCCTTATATTGCATATGTGTGTGTATTAGCCTAACACATTTACTATCTAAAGTATATCGTATAGTGAAATATATAGTATAGTACTTTATATAGGAATTTCTTAAACCCCAAAATCAAGCAAAGAAAAAAGACTGGATATAATCTTTTTTTAAAGTAATCTTTCCATCTTTTTAAAAGCAATTGAATAGAAACACATATAAGGTATGAAGAAATGGAACTGTATCAGCAATAAAGGATTCCAAATATACTTAAAACCAAATTTTAAGTATATTCACAGAGTTGTGCAATCACCACCTCAGAATGAAACCCCACGTACATTAGCAGTCACTCCCATTTCTCAACCTCTTCCTGCTTCCCTAGCCCTAGAAGTCACTAATCTATGTCTCAATGGATTTGCCTCTTCTAGACATTTCCTGTAAGTGGAATAAGGCCTTCTGTGTCTAACTTCTTTCATTTAGCATAATTTTTAAGTCTCACCCCTATTGTAGTATGTATCTATATTTTGTTCCTTTTTATGGCCAGTGGTATTTCACTATATGGATAAACCATATTTTATTTATTCATTCACCAGTTGATAGATATTTGAGTTGTTCCACTTTGGGGCTATTGTGAATAATGCTGCTCTGATCATTTGTGTACATGTGTTTATGTGCACATAGGTTTTCCTTGATCTTGGGTGGATACTCCTAGGAGGACTGGTGGGTCACATGGTAATTTTACATTTAACCTTTTGAGGAACTGCCAAACTGTGTTCTAAAGCAGCTGCACCATTATTCATTCCCATCATCAGTGTATGGAGGGCTCCAATTTTTCCCCATCCACGCCAAGACCCAATGCCTGTTATCTTTTTGATTAGAGCCATGTGAGTGTGTGAAGTAATAACTCATTGTAGTTGATGCCCTGTATTTTATTTTTTTTAATTTTTTTAAATAATTTTTTATTGTTATGTTAATCACCATACATTACATCATTAGTTTTTGATGTAGTGTTCCATGATTCATTGTTTGTGCATAAGACCCAGTGCTCCAGGCAGAATGTGCCCTCTTTAATACCCATCACCAGGCTAACCCATCCCCCCACCCCCCACCCCTCTAGAACCCTCAGTTTGTTTTTCAGAGTCCATTGTCTCTCATGGTTCGTCTCCCCCTCTGACTTACTCCCCTTCATTCTTCCCCTCCTGCTATCTTCTTCTTCTTTTTTTTTCCTTAACATATATTGCATTATTTGTTTCAGAAGTACAGATCCGTGATTCATCAGTCTTATACAATTCACAGTGCTCACCATAGCACATACCCTCCCCAATGTCTATCACCCAGCCACCCAATCCCTCCCACCCCCCACCACTCCAGCAACCCTCAGTTTGTTTCCTGAGATTAAGAATTCCTCATATCAGTGAGGTCATATGATACATGTCTTTCTCTGATTGACTTATTTCACTCAGCATAACACCCTCCAGTTCCATCCACGTCGTTGCAAATGGCAAGATCTCATTCCTTTTGATGGCTGCATAATATTCCATTGTGTATATATACCACATCTTCTTTATCCATTCATCTGTCGATGGACATCTTGATGCCCTGTATTTTAAACCAAGCCCACTCATTCTTGAATGGGACCTCAGCTACTCTTCTAGGCTACTCTTTTAGGTAAAGAATATGCCCCGATGGTCATTCTTAAAACCCAAAATAAAGCCAAGATAATCTAACACTCCCTTAATAAGTGAAGGTATCACCTCCATATAAAATGCACCATTATTCTACCACAAACTCTATCAAGCTATAATCATGCCCAACAGCCAAACCTTTTTCAAAAGATGTCAGGCTAAGCAGCCTATGTAAGCACTAATGCTGTAATGGAATACTTAAACATGCAACGAAGGTTTAACCAGAGCTTTACAGAAACACTGGATTGGAATTCAAGCTTGTCAATAATCTATGTGTAACCTGATCATTTAACTTGTCTACACCTGAGCATGAGTTCCGAGACACTCACAGAACTACATCCTCTGAAGTCACTCACATAAAGTTGTCTGAGTCTGAAAGTTTAATGAAATTTTAAAAAGTACTAACACGCATGCCTAAAGATCTAGCTTTGCACAGCAGAAAGAATTTGAGCTACAGGAGTCAGAGAAGGCGGGTGCTACGTGCAGCTCTATCAATTAGTAGCTGTAGCACCACAGGTACATTATTTAACATCTTTCTATCTCAGTTTCCTGATCTGAAGGTAATGCCTTCAAGAGGTTATGAGGATTCCTTGATCTAGTACAGCTAAAGCATCTATCAGTAGCCAGCAAACAAGTAGACACTTAAATGTTAGCGGAAAGATGGATGAAAGCTAACTCTGGGCAAAGTTTCCCAGCAAATAAAGACCTTATAACCAATGTTGGGGACCACTTAGGGCCGAATGCGAGTCCTTGTGACCTGTGGGATTCCTTTATAAAGCACTTCCCCACATTATGGTCGGCAAATTGATAAGGAGAGCTATCATATGGCTTAAAACAGGACTAGGGGGAATTCTTGGAAGGGAGCCCAAGGATGAAAAGATAAGAGACCTCATTTTTGTCAGGGACAAAAGAATAAAAACTTCCTCAGGGCTCACAGAGAGCCTGAGCACAGAACAGATCCTACAGAGAGAAAGGTAAAGGCTGTACTCACATGACTCCATTGGAAGCTCAGGTAGAGACTGCCAGGCTCTAGGGGGACGGGGCGGCGGGGGGGGGGGGGCGGGGAGAGCGGGGACTGGCGGAGGAGAGAGGGGTGGGGGTTGGCTAGGTGTGTGGAAAAGCTGCCAAGAGGAAGACGAACCCCATCCCAGCTGTGAATTAACTGTCCTTGCGTCTCTCAGCCGCCTTCCCCTACCTGATCTGGTTGTCACGGAATTTGTTGAGATGCGGTTGGTTGAGGTAAATGGTGCGGGCTGGTGCCTCCAGCTGGTCTCCAACAGACGTGGCCCGGGACATCTCATCCTCTGCCTTCTTGTAGCCCGAAGAAGGACGAACAGGTCCTGCAGAGACGGGGCGAGGGCAGAAAACACAAAGAAGTCACGCCAGGCAAGAGGCAGCGAACACGGGCTGCGGGCTGGCGGGCGGGGACCAGCTGGGAAGGATGCTCTGGGCGCTGCTGGGCCCGCCTATGTACCTTGGCTCCCCCTGGAGACCTGCCGCCGCAGCTGCTCACGGCTCCGCCCCGCCCCCTCCCGCGCCCCACCCCCTCCCGCGCCCCACCCCCGCCCTGGTCCCCCCGGCGCCGAGGAGGGAGCCTCTGCCGCCGCCGACTCCGCCCTGACCCCTCCCGCGGCGGCTGCAGCGTGAGGCCCGGCTGCCAGAGGCACCGCTGCCGGCTGCAGGGGCGGGGAGGGGCCGCGGGAACAGTGGGGCCGGGGCCTCCCCGCACCTTCCCGCGGTAAGCTCCCTCTGCGGGCCCACGGACTGCGCTCAGGGTCTCGGTTTTCTGGGCTGCTTTGATTGTGCTTAGGACAAAGATACCAGCAAAGGGGATGTGCCCTGCGTTCAGTCACCGCATAAAAGGATGGTGAAAGCACATCTCCATGCCCTACAAACGAAATTCCCAACCCTCCGGGTGATGGGCTTGGCTACCTCATGAGCCTGAACGCACCAGCTGCCTTTCTCCCCAGAAGTGCCCGGCAACCTGAGTGTGGTAGCTTTACCAATCCCAGCTCGCGGAGAGATGCATGATCTTTCATTTCATAGCTCCAGTTAGGTTTCTGTGGTTAAGACACAAGCAAGCCTGTCGCTTTAAGAGTTGATTTCAGTCCTATAGTCAAGCCTCTCTGTGAGCTCAACCTCCCCATAACCTTCACATAGGGAGGTGTCAGCATGGAGAATATGCCCATTAGTCACACTGCTACACCTGAGCACACACAGCCAGTCAACCCCGTCTCCAACTCATCACAAGGGGCAACCCACCTCAAGAAGGGACCTTCAAGGAGGGGTGCCTGCAGCAAAGGATCACAGAAAAATAAATGCCCTACAAATGCAGCCTTCTCTCTTTCTCCTTACATATATTTTCACTCTAGTATCTGCCATGCTTTCCACCTATCAAAGAGATGAATGATGTATCCTGTTTAGGAAACAGACATCTCATTTCAGTCAACATCTACTTCACAGCTAAAAAAAATATTCACTGACAGAGAAAAATCTTGAAACAGAAAGTTCCCGCTATTGAAGTGTGTCATTTTTTTAAGTGATTATAATCCTATTATAATCTTTATCACAAGCGGAGGACAATCAAAACGTGTAATCGGTTGAGAGCTGACATATCCCGAAGGGTATTCATAGCTGGGTCCCTGGTCATAGCAACCTGGCTGTTCCCCATTAAGGGACTCCATCCTCAGATCCTCACTCCCTGCCTCTGCCTCCACTCTCCCGGTTTCCTCTGGCTTGGGGTGGGGGCAGGGGGAGGGGGACTACTCTGTCCTCTGCTTATGGACAAGGGGCAGCAGAGAGCAAAAGTCCCTACTCCAATACTCACTTGCCTGAGAGCTTAGGCTCCCACACTTCAGTCAGAGAAGGCTAGCTTTTAAAGCATTTGTTGATTTAAGGCAGATAGGCTAGTTTCAAAAATTTTCCCTATAGAGAAATATTGCTTTTCTCTTGGCCCACTTACCCCGCTTTATCTCCAGCATTTATCATCATTACCTGGCATTATTCATCTATGGTCTGTCTTCCCATGGCCAAGCACAGAAGCTCCAGGACAATAGGACATGTTTTGTGCACTACGGTGATCTCAGCACCTACAACAGTGCCTGGCACATAATGGGCATTCATATTTGCTAGTCAAATAAATCATTCTCTTATAAAGCGTCACTTTGAATTCTCCAGGCAGAGATGCAGTGATATGCACAGAGGGCTCAATGGCCATATACTCCTATGGGTCAGAGTAGTTCATTGCTTAGACTGTATTCACTCAGTGGCTCTTGATCCTTGCTGCACATTATCACCACAAAGGGAGCTCCCACAATTAACTAGATCCTGGGCCCAACCCTCACAGATTCCGACTTGTTTTACTCTGTTTTAAAGTAACTTAAGAGAGGTGGGCCTGGGTGGATCAGTCGGTTAGGCACTGACTCTTAATCTCAACTTCGGTCTTGATCTCAGGGTTGTGAGTTCAAGCCCCATGTAGGGCTCCATGCTGGGCATGGAGCCTACTTGAATAACAATAACGATAATAATAAAGCAACTTAAGGGATACGAGTGGGCAGCCACAGTTGAGAATCACTTGTTATATGCTGCTGGGAACACAAAAAACAAAAGATCTGGCTCCTGCTCTCAAAAATTTTAACCAGTTTAGGGTGCTAAGGTATAACCATGGTTACCAGTAAGCCACAGTTTATGATAAGTGACTAAGAGTGGGCTTGAAAGTGCTAAGGAGGGTCAGGAGTCAGCAGCCTGTTTGTGCTTGAGGGGAGCCAGTCAGAACAGGTGTGTATATATATATATATATATGTAGGACAGATATAAAAGACAACGTATGGGTAAGATTTCTATCAGGAAAGAGGAAGACAGGGACATTTGGGGGAAGAATAAGAAAAAGCTTAGGCAAAGGCCCAAATAGACAAGATGTATATGAAGCCAATTAAACCAAACAAACAAAAACCAGCCCTGAGAGTCCAAGTGGGAAAGAGAAAGCTTCTGTGGTGGGCGGGGGGAGTGTGGAGGGGTGAAAGACTGGGGAGGATTTAAATGCCAGGCAAAGAAGCTTAAACTTCATCCTGAAGGTCATATGAAGCCACAGTTTCTAAGCAGGAGAGAAATATAATTGGCAGCGATATACAAGTAGGAGCAGAAAGAGGGGAGAATTTGTAGATGAGGAGATCAGACAGGAAATTAATTCTACCTCTAGAAGCAAGGCGTTAAAAAGCAAAAATTAAATGGAGAATGGGTAAAAAACATGGACAGAAGAACCATCTCAAAAGAATACCCTGCAAGACTTTTTTTGGACTTAGTGTGTGGGCCAGAAAAAAAAAAAAAAAAGACGATTGGGTAATTGGGATTTGAAGAAGAGAAGATTGGGACAAAGAAAAGCACTACTGATAGAAGTGAGAATGGAGGGGCGCCTGGGTGGCTCAGTCGTTAAGCGTCTGCCTTCGGCTCAGGTCATGATCCCAGGGTCCTGGGATCGAGCCCCGCATCGGGCACCCTGCTCAGCGGGAAGCCTGCTTCTCCCTCTCTTGCTCCCCCTGCTTCTGTTCCCTCTCTCACTGTGTCACATAAATAAAATCTTAAAAGAAAAAGAAAAAAGAAATGAGAACGGAAACAGTTTTCCCAAACAAGAATGTAAGTGTTGGATAACAAATATTGGGGTGCAAAACAATTACACCATGAGTGATAGAACTACATGAAATAATGTCTCCCAAGCACCTACCATGCATGAGGCCAGCTCACCTTTCTACACTACAACAGGGCCAGCCCTAGAATTTTATTCTGGGTAGCAGTCATTATAGTTTCCCCCTACCTAAGATTCTGATGACTTTCTTCTACCTCAGTGGCTTCATCTTGACCCAATCCTGCTTTGGAGAAAAACATTAATCTTTTCAAAATATCCCACATCTGTTGAAAATGTATCACCCAAAGAAAACACTATACCATATATAGTGAAGCACATTATGACTAAGGTTTCAAATTCAGACTCATGAGATGAATCCTGAGCTAACGCATTTTGAAAATACCACCATGCAAAATTAGAGTAGATGCTTACAACTCCCCCGTATAAACAAGCACGGTGTCAGCAGACAGTGGGAGTTCAATAAATATCTGTTGAGAAAGAAACCAAAGTAAAAAGGATAAAGAGAAACAAGAGTAGGCAAATGGGCAAGCACCAAGCTTGCCTACTACAAAATGGAAATGCAGACGACACAGCTGACAGCCAAGGGCACGAGGACAGGGACTTTGTCTTGCTCATGGTTCTAGCGCCATCATCCTGAATGATGCCAAGCACACAGCAGGCAGTCTGTAAACACAGACAAATAAAGGACTAATGTAGCAGGTGCTTTTTGAGGACGCCTACCCAGCTGCTGAACCCCAGACTCCCTTGTCTGGTAACTGCACCTTTCCCCTCCCACACACAGGCCAGGGAGCCTACAGACAGGCCTATAAAATGCAATGCCCTTCATCCATCACAGCTCTCTGCCCTGGGGACAGTTACTTGGTCCAAGTTGGACTGTTAGGAGTCTTCTGGAAACTGACAGGGGACCTAAGGAAGATGGTTTCTGCATGTGGCTGCTCTATGAACATATACACTCCGGGTCTCTGGTGGCCCTCTCCTACCCCTGGAGTAGGCAGGGAAGGAAAGGGTTTCTTTGAGAATAAAGATGAAGCAGTTTCATGGAGAGCAACAGAAACTGTCCCAACAGCTTTCTGGATTCTGGGTAAAGTGCCCTCCTAGATGCCAGCTATATTAGGGTCTTTGGGTTCCATGACCCACCCTGAATAACCAGAAATGCCAACCAATACGGTAAGGGAGCACACAGAGAACCTATTTTTCCCTTTAAGACAGATGAGCAAGTAAGGTTAATGAGGAGGGAGAAATAACTCTTCACATAGAGATCACCCTGTTGAGGGGAGGCAAGGTTTTAGATGCCTCCGGCACAGGTGCCCTTAGATGCCACAACCCACACCCAGGGAAGCCAGATCTGACAGAGGAACGTCTGCATGGCAACATTTAGGTTGCCTGGTTTGGATAAAGCCCAGCAATAGCTGGAAGGTGATCAGCTAAATAAAGAAGCCCCTCCTCCCTTGAGACTTTCTGCCAGGATAGGAGAAAGAATTCTAAGAAACAGAGATAGATGACAGGCACAGTCTCCTGCTGGAGAGCATTCTCTAAGAGGACAGATAAAGAATAGGAAAGGGGCAGAGGAAAACAGGCTAGTTCTAGTGCACATGCCACTGACACCCACAACTCTGCCATGGGCCCCAGCCACACCGTGGCTCTAGCTTGCCTGTGAATCTCCTCCTACTCACTTTGTCCATGTC